GTATGACGCGCGACCACTCCAAACATCTGCTGTCTGTCTGCCTGTCTGTGCTGCTGTCTGCCTGTCTGCTGTCTGTCTGCCTGTCGTTCTGCCTGCTGTCTGCTTGCCTGTCTGCCTGCCTGCCTGCCTGTCTGTCTGTCTGCCTGCCTGTCTGTTTGTCTGTCTGTCTGTTTGTCTGTTTGTCTGTCTGTCTGCTGTCTATCTGCCGCCTGTCTGTGTGCCTGCCTGCCTGCCTGCCTTCCTGTCTGTCTGTCTGTCTGCCTGTCTGTCTGCTCTCTGTCTGCCTGTCTTGTCTCGCTCTCTCTCTCTCCTCTCTCTCTCTCCTCTCTTCGCTGACGAACAAGTCGCATACTCGTATACTAACCAAGTAATGGATGGCGCAATTTACCCCTATCACTACTCCCCGCCTCCATCACTACCCCCATCAAATAATCCGCTCTTCGGTTTTGTCACAAAATACCATCAATTACACAAGCTCTCTTCTTCTATCTAGGAAAACAAAATCCAGAAAGAATACCTAACCTCAGGAAACTATCTACACATTCTTTTTACTCACCTTAACACTCGCCACTCTCATTACTCAAATTTTTTTAACAGATATTGATAATTTTCTATAAGAAAATCTTGTTCTAAAACTCTATATTGCTTACACGCAAATCCCTTGCATTAAGCAAATATTTTTTTACAAAAAATGCATAGTGAAATGTTACTCATTTTTGCAAAATATGCAATTTCAGTAGATTCTTGGTTTTTAGTTGATGAATCGAAAAAGAAAGAAGCGTGCTATAACGCGAGAAAGAAAATTTAAATTACCAAGATTTTGGCAAGTTATTTCCTTTCGTTTCTCAATTATACATTTAAACTATACACAATACGTATAAAAATTGCGCATGTAAGCCTAACAAATTTGACCTAAACGTTTTTAAAGAGAGACGAAAAGAGAATTTGCGTAATACATTGTATATTGACAGCACTATTACAATGAAAATTCTTTTTTCTCGCTTTCTCTTTTTTCTTTTCTTGTATTCTTCTTATTTTTATTAATATTTACGAAAAGAAAGAATGAAAGTAGTTTCGTTTTAATTCCTCATAACATGGAAAAATATCTGTGCCATTTATCAAAAATAAACGAAAAAGAATTTTCATGTTACGTGCGAAGTAAAATTTGTTCCAATGACGGGGCGTCGGGATTAACCAAAATTGTCTAAAATTAATTACATTACTCCACCTCTCCATCATCGATCTTTGTGTCTTCCTGTCTTTCTACCCGAGGGGATCTCGCGTGCAGCGCCCCTCGGGCGAGATTTGTGTGTCAATTTGATCAGAACTCGCATTACGAAGACCACGGAGCGACCTTCGGAGCGAGGCAACGGATTTATTTGCTTTATATTTCACTTCAATTTCGTGGAAATCTGTCCGGATAAACACATGCGAAACATAATACAAGGGTCAGAAGAATTTATAAGCTTCCCCCTTGTTTGAGGGTTGTTTGCGAGTTTTTTTCCCCTCGTCGTAATTCCAGCGACGCGCTTGTTTCCGAGATCCTGGGATGCTTCCTGTCCTCAGGCGATGGCATCCCCGCTCACCACACCCGTCTCCCCTCACCCTCTCCCCTCACCCTCTCCCCTCACCCTCTCTCCTCTCCCCTCTCCACGCCCCTCTCCCGTTTCCCGCTCCACGCTTTGCATCTCACCCTACGTCGTGGCTTTCGTTGGCTCTCCCACGGTATGCCCTTTCGTCTGTGTCCGTGGCCTTGCTTTGTTTTGTCCCATCTCTGCAGGTTAGGAATTTAATAATAACCTGGCTCTATTTCCATTTTCGTCTCCATACATTTTTTTTCTAATTTATTTTGTGGATTAAACTTTCATGTCCAAAATCGCATAGAACGCTTAATGACGTTTAATTCATATGTGTTATATACGATACATGTTCTGTATTATATTAGCATTATGTTTGTTTACCTTATTTGCATATGGTGTGCGCTCTATTTATTTTATCTACATGCTACGTGTTCGTTGACGAGGCAGTAAAATGAAACTGCATTATATCGCAATGTTCAACGAGAATAACTCATTTGAGATCAGTAGCGACGCATAATATAAACAATTCAATTGAGTGGATTTATTTCGTCATACGTGAAATGGTCTCTCTCAACTCTTGAGATCTTTTACTTCCGCGATTCATTTCCTTAGTTCCTCTGAAAAAATCCTTCATTCTCAGACAACAGCGTTGCTTAGAGTCCTTTCGCTGTTTCTTCGTTCTTTTCCTGCATCTCGCCTTTAGTATTAGACCCCACTTCTCAATTCTCTTCCGTCGTCACAATTGCACACTCGCCTTCACCATTCGTTTCTTCCGCTTTTGCTCTTCAGTTCCCAACTTCTCGTTTCGCCCTTAAATACATTCTGCTGTATCTCTAATCACATGGCCTCTCCATTCATCCATATTCTTTCAAAAACATCTTGTTACTACTGGTGGTTATCCCATACTGGTTCCAAGCCTATTCTTTGCTTTCGTCCCCTTCTAGCCCAATAATCAGTGTGAATCTAAATTGTCCAACTCTGGCCCGCCATTTAATGTGAGTACAATTACTTATTTGCCTGTTGTCGATTGATTCGCCACTTCTTACCATGACGCGTAGCCTCTAATCGTGTCACAAATTCGTTTGTTTGTGATAAACTACCTTGAGTATTTTAATGTCAAAGTGAACGTCATGAATCAAACAACTTGCGGATGTATTTTTTTATAATAAAACATATTAAGCGTATTTATAACTTCTTAGATAGTTTACGACCATTCAATAGTCATAAAATATTTTCTTGATGGGAATTAAATTAGGTAGTGTGTGATAAAATCGTAGATAAGTGGGTAACGTCCGGATGTCGTGGCATAAAGTAGAATATTACAAATTCAATCTTGGTTGCTCGAGTATCGATGCGCTAAATGGTGTACTTTTTGGTATTAGAAGTAAAGTTGCTAAATTATTTTGCTGATGTTTTAGTCAAGTATCAAGACAGTATTGTTGTCGTCTTGTTTTCAAAGCTCTGAGGATGAAATTACTTATTACAGAAACAATGGCACACTTAATGTTTTTACCTAGTACATGACCAAATCCCGTTAGCTGAATATTTCGTAGTATACATCTGTTAACCACTAGATACTTTTGTAGTACTACATCTGTTAACCACTAGAAATGGTGCTCATCCCTGCTGTTGTGCAACGGATGTAAAAATCGCCGATCTCTCCACCGCTTCCCCCGCCGCAGCCCTGGACCACCCGCTCTCATATCCGCGGTCCCCGTGCCGCGGCGCGTGGTCCGACGCCGTGCGGAGACGACCGCGAGTCCATAAATAACGCGGTGACTCAGCCGCCCCCTCTCGCGGCGCCCCGCGCCCTGCCGAGTAGATTAAATCGAGCCGGCGCCGCGCTGCGCGGCGCGGAGGAGAGGAGGGGAGGAGAGGAGAGGGGAGGGGAGGGCAATTCCAAGATGCGCGAGCGCGTGCCCGTCCCGCGACGAGTAATTGCGGACAATGGAGTGCGGAGGGACTTTTTGGGGGAGAGGGAGAGGTTTGCGCTCTCTTCCGAGAGCAATACCCTGCCCTTTTGCCCCGCGCGTTTTCGTCTCCGGCCGCCCCACTCTCCCTGCTACCGCCCCCGCCCGTAGTGGCAAGCGCTGCGCCGCCGGCCGAGGGATGTGTTTGCTAACCGAAGTTTATTAGCCACCGGAGCGGCTGGTGGGCGGGGAGGCGGAGGCGGAAGGCGCGGCCAGTCCCGCTCCCCCACCTTGAGGAAACACCCGGGCTGCTCTGATAGCGGCGCGGCGCCTGTGGAGGTCCCTGGGCGCCCGCGGCGTGTGGATCCCGCGTGGTAACTGCGCTGTTGGCTGCCTCCCGCGGGGCGCTCATAATTGGCTCGGAAATTGTTATCAATGGTTGAATTTCGTGTCGCATGAGAAATGGAGATAAACAAGTTTCTGCAATTGTCTAAGTCTAAGTGCTTGGTAATTTAGTGGGATAATGATCGGATTGTGTAAGAAGGTGCACTTACTCGTGGTTTATTTAGTTCTTTGTCGTCGCTTTAACAAATTTACTCATGTCAGAATTATCTGATGGCATAGCTTTGTATGTTCGATGTTTATTGATGTATTCAAAGTCTTCTTCGACGGTAAAACATAGATGACAAACCGCAAATATCATTTTATTTAGATTCGATATCTTTGTTACTGGATATAACTAAACAGATGTGTTACGAAAAAATGCAAAACATATACCACTAAACAGAATATTTTTTACACATTTTCACATCAAACATTATTATTTGACGTTTCATGTCAACATTAATATTTGACTTTTCCATTATAAAGAGAGGATTGATAGAGGATTGTTTACAACACACTCTTTAGTTTCCCAATTGTTTACGAATGAACTTTTCGTAATCTTCCATCTTACGAAGTTGTTGAGCAATCTGTTATGCCAATTGCCACAATCATAGGTGACGTAAAACAAGAAGGGAGCCACTACATTTGTGGCCCCCCTTTAAGCTTTATTATTTATATATGACTCCGTATTTTACTAGAAAATAAATAAATCTTACTACAATCAAACTTAAATTATAACTTGAACACAGTTATGCTGAACCATTTACAGAGTTACCAGATGGATTGGAGAGTCTCTTCCCCAACTGTACAGCATTTTTTTACTTCGTCAAAGTAAAAAAGAGCGACAGGAAATTAAAACTTGGCCACAAGGAAATAAAATATTTTATTACGTGAGGCAACGGGGGCTCTTTCAAACTTTTCAAGGGGTCACAACCCAGCTTCAAATGTTGGAAAAACTTCTCAGTTTACGACGGTGTTTGACAAACCTTGTGAATCCATAAGACCTAATTTTACAAAGAATGCCATTGATGAAATTCCAAAAATAAAAGTTGTGAGTGCGTACTTAAGCGACGCTTATGCCTTTGTGTAGACAGTTTTTGAGTGCTTGCGCCCGTGCGTGTTGCAGAATGGGGCTGACGCCGAACAGCAACGTGTGGGTGGGCGCCTGGTGGATCGGCTTCCTGTTCGCCGGGGCGCTGTGCCTGCTGCTCGCCGCGCCGCTCATGGCGTTCCCGCCCGCGCTGCCAGGTGAGCGCCACTGTCGACTGCTCCTCCCGTTCCTTACGCCACAACTGCCATCCTCACCCTCTTCCCCGCTCCCGGGTTCCAGTTCGTGTGACTTTCGCATTTTTTTTTTAATTTGCTAGTTAGTCTTAAATCCTTGCTCGCAGCATCAAAGTAGACCTGCATTTTTTTTAAAACAATTTAAAAATATTATTGATTGACATTTCCTGTCACGTCAGCTGCTAGGGTCATTACTCCCGTTAACGTAGTTACTGTTTCATAGCGGGAGGTGACCGTAACCCCCCCCCCGTAAGCTGAATGGTGAGGTCCGGCCCCAACCTTCTTGTCGGCTTGCGGAGAATGTTTCCCTTTCAGGTGTCTCCCCCACCGGGGCACCTCCTCGTGTGTGTGGGTAAGTAAGGAGAGAGGATTGAGCAAGGAAGAAGGAAAGTTCACTCGCGGTCCATGACCCGTTGGTTAGGGTACTGCTCCGGCATTCTCCTGAATTGGAGATACCATGGAAAACTGAAAGTAGCCGGCCGCTACAATTCTCGTCCAGGTGGCGTCAGAATTCGATCTAGCTAGTGTTGAAAACCCACGACCGTGGTAACTATCCCTAGGACGTCCCGGTCAGAGCCACTCCAGAAGTACTGAGCCATCGTTGCCACAATTGGTGCATCAACTATTGAAACAAATAGTGTGAACCCTAAATTAAAATAAAGTATTGGTTCTGGCTCTGTGCTTAAGTCAGACAGGTAAAATTTAATAAATAACGGAAACTATCTCAAAAACGATGGGGCTTGTAATGAAATCCACGACAGAATAACACAACTGTAATTAGCAGCCCTAAAACATTTTTATACATTGCATTGCCTCGAACACGTTTTCGTTTCTCATCCGTTTCGCGACATTCACATGCAGAGCGCGCGCATTTCTTAGCTTCTTGTTTTACGCCGGGACGTCGGACGTCTCCCACTCGCGTCGTCGCGGGGGAGAGGCACGTTCGGAAGTGGCACTAGTGGCGGAAGACGGCGAGGCGGGCGGCGGGCAGCACGCGACCGCGCCAAGTTGTTTGCGGCGAAATCCAATTAGCAGCGGCGGCGACGAGATGAGAGGCAAGGGCGAGAGTGTCGGCGCTGCCCGGCGCACCGCTCATCAGTCAGCGCCGTCCGGGATGATTGAGCGCCCGCCCCCGCCCCCGCCGCCGCCGCTGCACTCGCGAGGCGACTGTTGCCCGCGCTTGTTGCCTTCGAGACCAGGCTACAAATGCCCTGGCTCGTTGAGAGAAGAAAAATGTCGGGTGGCTAATTAACGTGGGAATTGTCGTCCACGAAGTGAGGTTGAAACATTTTGTTATTTAATGCCGCTCGTATTTTTGAAATAAAATACTGTTTTGTTTTCGTAAATTCTAAGTTAATAGGAGACACTTGTAATATTTTCGAATCAAAACTATTTCGTTGGCAGTTTGACAATTGGTTTATTATCTTTTAGTTAACTCATAGAAAATCAGCTTAGGTTAATTTTGACAAAATTTGCCTTCGAGACCAGGCTACAAATGCTCTGGCTCGTTGAGAGAAGAAAAATGACGGGTGGCTAATTAATCTGGCAATTGTCGTCCACGAAGTGAGGTTGGAAATTTTGTTATTTAATGCCGGTCGTATTTTTGTAATAAATTACTGTTTTGTTTTGTAAATGCAAAGTTTATAGGGGATACGTAAAATATTTTCGAATCAAAACTATTTCCTTTGGCAAACGATTTAACAAATTGTTAACTATTTTTTAGTTAGCCCATAGAAAATTCTGCTTAGGTTAAATTTGACTAAATAGTAGTAAATTCTGCTTTAATACTCAGTATTTCATTTAAATAGATAAACTCAAAAAATGGAAACGGTTATCACATACTTGTCTGAAAGTGCGTCATTATCTGCTTGTTGTTAACAAAAAATGTATACTTTCATCACTTCTTTCAACTATCTCCCTCTGTAATACATGTATGAAATATCCCTGGAAACAAAATTTATTCTCTTTCTTTAAAAAATTTTAATTAAACAAACAGATTTGTATGCTACACAAACGTATCTCGCGTATATCTTTTATTATTGACTGCTCACTAATTTGAAAATAGAAATAATTTACATATCATTTGATTTCTCTTGACAATGATGCCGAAAAAATTTAATTGCTAATAACCATTCTTATTTGCAATCCTTTTCCCTTACTTACTCACGCACTCACACTTACACTGATATGTACTGTACTACAACATGACAGGAAACCAGAGCTTGTGCAGAATGGGGCGGTGCCCCACTTGTGGAAGATACCTGGTTTGGGTAAACCCCATAAGCGACGGTACGTCGGCACCGGATCTCACCATCCAGCAGGATAAGAACACCGCCACCTCACGTGATTAAAACGAGCACTGCTCTTACGGGACTAATAGCAATAGCAGTTGACGAGCCTGGAAACAAAATAATCAATAAATATCTGAAGTGTAGTAAAAGTGTAGTTTATCTTGTTACTGTATCATATGTCTTGTATATGTATATATGTGTATATATATATATATATATATATATATATATATATATATATATATATATAT